TATCCAGGAATGGAAAAAGGCTTGACGATGAAGAGTGTTGGAGAACTTGAAAGCTTGTGACTTTTTTTGGTCGGTCCTAACAAAGATGTTGGGAAGCGGGTGGCACTGTGGGTTAAACCACAGAGCCTAGGACTTGCCGATAAGAAGGTCAGCGGTTCGAATCCCCGCGACGGGGTGAGCTCCCTGTTGCTCGGTCCCTGCTCCTGCCAACCTAACAGTTCGAAAGCACATCAAAGCGCAAGTAGATAAATAGGTACTGCTCCAGCGGGAATGTAAATGGCATTTCTGTGTGCTGCTCTGGTTTGCCAGAAGTGGCTTAGTCATGCTGGCCACATGACCAGGAAGCTGTACGCCGGCTCCCTCGGCCAATAAAGCGAGATGAGCGCCGCAACCCCAGAGTCGGTCACGACTGGACCTAATGGTCAGGGGTCCCTTTACCTTTACCTTTAACAAAGATGTTGCCCTACTGTGGGTTTTGGAAACATCTAGATGGTAAAACATTTTGAAAATTCCAAAGTGCTGTGGGAAGACACAGTGACAGTACGTTGATATGTGGCTGGGTACATGACTGGAGCTGGTTCCTGGAAGAACTGGGAGGTGTTAATAGCATCTGTTCATTGGAACACTGTGATGCAAAGAAGGCTGTTCCAGAGAAGAGCAATGTTCTCAAGACAAACATACAGCCTTGCAAACATATATTCTTTAGGAAAACTATTAAACCATGAAATAGCTAAGGATTTGCATTGTTAATTCAACAAAGACTACAATGATCCCTAGTATCCATTACCTAAGGTAGAGAAGCAAAAGCAAAATGGGAGTGCAAGGCAGAGGCTGGAGATGGTGCAATAATAATTAGGACTTGACATTCATACTTGACATTCAGGTAGTTTCTCAGAATGCTTGAAGCATACACATTATCTTGCTGCAATCCTTAAAACAACCCAGCAAGTTAGGTCAGCATCACTGTCTCCTCAAGGTAGCCAAGGCTTATCTGTGGCCTCCATGTGAAGTTTATGGAGGTAGAGTAATTTGACCTGAATTTTCCTATTCAGAGCTCACCCACCCAGCATCACACCAGCTCCCCAAGTTTAAGTGGGTCATCACAAACACCCAAGATGCAAAACTGTGAATTGATTCTGGATTCAGTGGCAGAGCATGCAGTTTTGGGGTAGTAGGTTAAAATCCTGTGAGATTACACTGGTCAACTCTGGGAGTGAACAGAAAAGAAAACCTTCAGAGTGTTCCTCTCAACTAAGGGTCTCTAACTAGAATTCTATCATCTATCTATCTGTCATCTATCTATCTCCCACACTTCATCCCAAAGGGGCTCAAGGCAGTAGACCCATCAACAATAAAAAAGCATTTTTAAACGCATTCTAAAACCAGTTAAAAAGCATTCTCTCAACCAGTGATTTCAGGGTTGCTAGGAACAATACATTTTATCCATCAAATTCCTCTCAAAAGTCAACAATGAGGGACACACACACACACACACCACCACCACCACCACCACCAAAGAGGACACTGAACAAATGGGGAACCACCACCAGAAAGGCCCTGTCACAGGCCAGCACCAAGCGGGTAGCCCCCAGAGGTGGCACTATCAACAAGGACTCACCTGTCAATCATAGGGTCTCAGGTAGCTGATATTGGGGGAGGTGGTCTTGCAAGTACTTGGGTGCCTATTGATGTTAAGTGCATTGCTGCTACTCACATTAGGGTGTTATGTGTATTTAATATCTAGTAAGTAAATAAGTGTGTGTGAGAGAGAGAGAGAGAGAGAGAGAGCGAGCTCTTCTTTCTGACAGCAATCTCCATGAAAATCATACACACACTGCAATGGATTATTAGGATTGTGAACAGACGCCAGTAGAGCTTTTTCTTTTTCTATAGAAGTGGACCATTTTTGCGGAGTACATATACAAAGAAATGGTTAAAACTGCCCCTCCTGATACTCTGCCATCTCAATAAAATAAAAATCACCCCCTGAACTTACCACTAAGTAAACTAACAGCCCAGACATAAATGACAGTGGCAAATTTGTAACTTGTGTATTTTTTTAGGCATTTATTTTGAAGCAACACCTTTTGAAACAACCTTTAGGGCTGCAATTCTATACACCAGGTATCTTCAACCTTTTCGGACCCAGGATCAACTTTTAACCCAAACAGGTATTTGCAGACCAGACCCATTTCTTAACCTTTCACCATATTTTTGGATGGTGGTTGTGTTCCTATGGCGACCAACCTTGGATCAAGCCTCAGCCCACTAGTGGCTGCCAACCAACCTGTTGAAGACCAGTGATGTTCAGGCTCACCTGAATTAATCCCCATTCAGCTCAGTGGGATTAACTCCCAAGTAAACACATCTGTTGAGACGGAAAAGTGTGACTGTCCAATCAAACTTATATTCAGCATTTCAGGATAACAAGGTTGCAAAGATAACACTTTGAGTGCCTTCGCCAAAATAAGGTGCTAGATTGAGACTAAAGCATTATTAAAACTTCATGAATTTGTCCATTTCTCGAATTTAAGGGGCAACTTTGAATTTTTTACTTCTAGCTCCCAAGCGGAGAAGCTATTTGCATTGCCTCCCCACCCCTTCGCATATGTACCATAGCTCCTAAGCTTCCTATAAAATGAGTAGGTATTTGGTATTCCTGCATCTGGGGCAGAAATGCCATTTGTGCAAACAGCTGCAGGCATGTCCGTGTGCAAAACATGAACTCTCTGAATAGAGAGCATGCTCTGCATGCAGAACGCCCTCACTGTCTATGGGTACAAGGATCTACAGTCCCAGGATTTGACTTGAGAGCACAAAAATCTTGCTGGATCAGGCAAAGACCCATAGAGTCAGCACCCTGTTCTCACAGTGGCCAACCAGATGCCTTTGGGAAGCCCACAAGTAGGACATGAGCACAACAATTTTCTCCCCATCCTGTGGCTTCCAGCAGCTCATATTCAGACACATTGCTGTCTCTGACAGGTAGGAAGCCTGGGACCTCTGAGACAGCCCTGTGGTTTGCCTGCCTGCCAAAACAGCTTGCTTCCTGAACTGTATTTCCACTGTGAATCCACAGCCATGAATCAAACCTATTTGCCATAAGGAAGAGAAATGAAACCAAGAAGCAAACCTGCAACAGGTCTTGAACCATTGCTCAGAGATAGACCACATGCTTTCCCCCCCCCACGTAGAAGGAAGATGCTCTACCATTGAGCTACGACCCTTCCCTAATCTAGAAGAATTAGTAGACTGACTTGCCTGTATAAATGCAGCTGACCTTCCAATGCTCATTTTAAATTGAGTCTGCCCTATCCAAGAGCCTTGGATTACCTAATAACAAAGTCTCTGTGTAATGTTTTCTTGGGTCTTTGCATTATGCACAAATTAAGGCCCGTCCAGCTTTAAACACATACATAAATTGACATGCAGCCTGACATCCTGTTGATTACTTAATATTCCACCTTTCCTGCCTATTATCACACTACACACTTTACCCCCCCCCCCAGTTTTCTCCTGAATGGACCTACCTGATGCTTAGCAACTTCATAGTTATTTTTGGAACCCAACCATCTTTCCCAGGGCGCTCAGCCCTAGTCAAGCGAGGTTTTCATTATAAGAGAAGCCTCAGCTCTCCTGCAGTCCTGCAGAATCTGTGCATCTTGGACATGGAGGGAAATTTGAGAGGGATGGAAGGGGCGGTAGTGAGTGAGAGAAAGGACAACACTGAGATGTTGTTGTTGTTGTTTTCCTTATGGTCCACCCGATGATCTCCGCAGCTGGTTGCCCAGGGAAAACATGTTGGTGTGTGAGGAACATAAGAACCTGCTTTCTACTGAGTTGGGTCCATCTAGCTTGTTGTGGGTCCATCTGACTGGCAGTGGCTCTCCTGTCCCAACCCTAGCTGGAACCGCCTGGGGATGAGCACGGACCTTTCTGCAAGCAAAACAGGTGATCTACCACAGAGTCAAGGCCCTAAGCAATTATGTTTTTATTAACTAAACATAGAAGAGAGAGACAGAGTACTACAAAGGCAGGAGTACATGAAGGTAGAGGAGACCACTCTCACCCTTCCCAAATAAGAAATGAACCCTTCCTGTGACTACTTCCCCTCATTCCTCTGCTAGCATCTTATACCCAGGACACAGTTTTAAGAACAATAATCTCTTTCCAAGGTAGAAATCTGAGGGGTACATTTTTTATCTGACACCTAAGCCTTTCCCTGAAGAGCAAAACCTCCCAACGCTAGAAGATGAATGCCAGTTCTGGAAGAGAGCCTTCTCTTAAACCCAAAGCTCAAGTCACACTAAAGAGAAGGGGGCTCTCTCCCTACTCAGAGGAGACCCATTGAACTCAACAGGCATGGCAAACTTAGGTCCATTCATTTCAAGATGGTCTACTCCGAGTAGGACCAACATGGGAAGCAACCCGGGGGCACTGAAAAGGAACCACATTCCAGATTTTTTTATTAATATGATAATCTTGTGCCCCCTTCAGAAGAACCAACAGCTTGCTGTGGCTTCCTTGCTCATGCTGATTTTATGTAAGCATCTTCCACACCACACACGGTCACCAAAACCCACAGAACGGCTCTCGCTCTGCTTCCGAGGACGCCGCTCACACCCAGCCCTGGAGGGGAAGAATGTCAGCGGCCACCGACACAGCAGACCGAAGCCGGATAAACTCCATCGCTCCTCCGCCACCCTCTCCAGCGCCTTTTGCTCGCTAACAGGTCTCTCCTCGTCAGGATCTCTCCCACCCTCGCCTGTCCTTCAGAAGCAGCTACAGCAGCAGCAGCAGCAGCAGCAGCTGCCTAGAGCCGTCGCGAGCCCCCGAAGCCAACCTGCTCGCTCACCTCCACCGCGGTCCTCGCGTGCCCGAGCGAAAAGCATCGCCGTGCGCTGCGCTCTCTTGGGCACGTTTGGAGAAGGAGCCTTGCGCGCACAGGCGGCGGCGGTGCGCCGAGGAGGAAAAGCAGGGCGGGGGCGGTTGGGTCTTACCTTCCAGGCAGGCGGCTCTGCTGCTCCTACAGGTCTGGATCCCGCCGCCTCCTCAGTCCTCCCTTCCGTCGTGCTTCCCCCTCTTTCTCCGCGTCTCTCCTTGCCTTCTTTTCTCCGCCGCCCCGGATCTCTCACCCGAGGGGGAGAAAGAAAGAGAACCCGCGCCGGCCCCCCAGGGGGTCTCCAGCAACCTCCGCATAAAACCTCCCTTTTCCGAGGGACAGCAGCGGGGGAGTGAGGGAGGGGGGCGCACAGCTCGCTCCAGCTCAGGTGCGCCCAGCTGGTCCCCACAGGTGCCCGGCCGGTCCCCAACGCGCTGCGCTCTGGGACAAATCTACCCAGCAGGTGGCCATGGCAGACGCCGGCCCCACCCGCTTCCGTGGGGATGGGGGGGAGCGGCGACGCACCTTTGCCCAACGGCAGCTCAGCCACCCAGCACAAGCTCCCTTTCGTGGAAGCCTGGAAAGGGGGGAAGAAATTCTGTTCTAAACAGCCCACCCACCCCCGGCGTGCGCGCTTTCCAGCTCCTCCTGCCTCGTCTCGCCCACGCTAAAACTCCAGCACGAGAAGAGGAGGGAGGAAAAGCAGACGGCTGGTCCTCGTGGTGCCTGGACGCCGGGGTCTCACAGTAACCCCTTCCTTACCAGGCATCAACCACCAACCTTGTCTGTAGATCCCCCCCCCATAACCTCTGCGGAAATGCGAAAAAGGAGGGGAGGGTCGTAGCTCAGTGGTAGGGCATCTGCTTTGCATGCAGAAGGTGCCAGATCCGACCCCTCCCCTCCCCGCATCTCCAGGTAAGACTGAGAATGTCCTCTGTGCTTTGTATGTTATGATTCAAAGACCTAACAATATGATACCCAGAGGCGTTGCTATTGAGGTATATTGAGACCCTGTATATGGGGCAAACGCTCAATTGAAAACGCTCAGTTGTCAGCTGCCTCTGTACTGACAAGTCAGACCACGAATCCTTCTAGGGAAAGGCTGCAGCTCAATGAGTAGAGTATCTACTTTGCATGCAGAAGGTCTCATGTTTGACCCCTGGTGTCTCCAGGTGGGGTTGGGAGAGACTCTCTTCCCGTGTGTGTACTGTGCTAGGTAGACAGATGGTCTGACTTTCTCCAAGGCAGCTGCCCGTATTCCAAAGGATTTGAAAACACACACGTACACCAACAAAGAGATTAGTAGTTGCAATCTGATTTCTATCAGTCACTGGGTGCTTCCAGACCATTGCTATGTTGCGGTGTGGTTCAATCACCTCTTGGGAAACCCAAGTCATGCAAGTAAAGCTGGTTGCTCCTCCACCTTCCAAAAACCAGTCCGACTTTTTGCAATACGGAAAGTGATGGGGGAAAGTGTGTGATACTTCTTGCTTGGTGCATCTAACCTCCCCACAAACAAACCAGGACCATTCTCAGTAAAGAAGTCATCTAAAGGCAACCTGTATTCCAAGATCCAACATCTTCCCCGTTGAACCATGGTATTATTATTTTTGTTCTTATTTGTACCGCTCCTTCTGGAGAATATTCCAGCCAAGCTCATGTCTATTCTTGAAACCAATGCAGAACAAACAAATAAACAAATGGCATACAGTGCAAGCCTATGAATGTCTATAACGACTTCATTGACTTCACAGACTGTTGTAATCAAGACTGGAGATACAACTGTAAATGTCCAGGCTCATTGGACGAAGTCTCACAACTAAAATACTTTGCACCACATGCTTAGAAACATAGAAAGCTGACTTACACCGAGGCAGACCATTGGTTCATGTAACTCAGCATTGTCCACACTGATTGGCTGTGGCTTTCCATGGTTTCAGGCAAGGAACCTTTCCTAACCACTGAGTGCAGATGTAGACCCCTTACTCATGAGCTAACTCTTTGATCTCTCAGCAATGGAGAACATGGGCACCAAAACGTCTGTACCTCATTGCTCTTTGGTCTAGGTCCAGTCTTTTTGGTGCCCATGTTCTCCAATGCTGAGAGATGGCTCCACCTCATCCTTTGACAGCTCCACAGGTTCTCCAGCAGGTCTACCACCAGAGGGGCACTGTCTGTCAGAGACCCTACCTGCTCCTGAGGATCTTCGATCTGTGGGGTATCTGGTTCATCCTTAAAGGATTCCATGTCTGACACCAGGTTAGCGCCAGGTGTGAGAGAGGGGAAGTAGAAACCCATTTGACGTTCAGAAGAATGGCACCCTCTGGGTCACTCTCACTTCATTGAACAATGCGGCTAGTAGTTAAATAATAATTTACAAAATATAACAGCTGCCACTGTCACAGTAAGCTTCCCATCCCTAGACTGCAAATGATTGTTCCACCCAGCCAGGAATATTCCTGAAAATGCTGCTCCACTACAGCTTGTGATTAGACCCAGACCCACTTAGTTTCATCAAGCTTGCTGCATAATTTGCTTTCAGACAACACTTTTGGCTCAATAACTTATTCCTGCAATGTGACTAGGAACTAAAGTGATTTAGAAATGGCATGCTGTCCAACATTTCTCAGATGAAAAATAGGGGCATTCTATTCTACAGCAGGAAGCTCCTCCTGCATCTGATCTCTGCACACACATAGATGTCATATACACACCTACATCTGTCACCTTGAGCCAATTAAAGCTTCTCCATGAAAACTACCTGACGGGATTGTTGTAAAGCAAAAATGTGTGAGGGAAGGGATCATGTACAACATCTTCAGCAGATAAAGGGAATGAAATAAAATTGTAGCTATAAGTTGCCTTGCGTCCCTCTCAGGGAAAAAGGTGGTATATAATACTAATACTAAAATACGAATACGAATACAGTGGTACCTCTGGTTAAGAACTTAATTGGTTATGGAGGTCCATTCTTAACCTGAAACTGTTCTTAACCTGAGGTACCACTTTAGCTAATGGGGCCTCCCGCTGCTGCCACGCCGCCGCCGCAATATGTCTGTTCTCATCCTGAAGCAAAGTTCTTAACATGAGGTACTATTTCTGGGTTAGTGGAATCTATAACCTGAAGCGTATGTAACCTGAAGCATCTGTAACCCGAGGTAAAAAGGTAAAGGTAAAGGTACCCCTGCCCGTACAGGCCAGTCTTGACAGACTCTAGGGTTGTGCGCCCATCTCACTCAAGAGGCCAGGGGCCAGCGCTGTCCGGAGACACTTCCAGGTCACGTGGCCAGCGTGACAAGCTGCATCTGGCGAGCCAGCGCAGCACACGGAAACGCCGTTTACCTTCCCGCCAGTAAGCGGTCCCTATTTATCTACTTGCACCCGGGGGTGCTTTCGAACTGCTAGGTTGGCAGGCGCTGGGACCAAGCAACGGGAGCGCACCCCTCGTGGGGATTCGAACCGCCGACCTTTCGATCGGCAAGCCCTAGGCGCTGAGGCTTTTACCCACAGCGCCACCCGCGTCCTATGGTACTAATACTAATGGAAACTGAGAATGTTCAGGAACATACCAGAAAGTAAATCCTATTGAACTCAGTGGGACTTAGTTCCGAGTAAAAATGCTTCAGATTGCAGTGTAAGGCTGCACAATCTATACTCAATAACCTGGGAGTAAGCTCCATTGAATACAGTGGGGCTTACATCCAAATAAGGCCCTGTTTACAATAAAGGAATCAACACTGCAAGAGTTTCCTAAGAAATGGCTGGCTGCTGAAGCATTTCAGTTAAAGAATTTAAAGTAGACTGGTGACCTTATTGGAAGGGCTTTGTATGCCACCATCACCATTTCCTTCATTTGGTGCAGGAATTTCATTTTCAGTGTAAACAGGACTCCATTTTTGCACCTACACACACACACACACACACACACACACACACACCTTTTAATTGTTCTCCAAAATGTGGAGGGGATGAAAAAGGAAAAATGGGACATTCCGGGATCAAAACAGAAACTGGGATGGCCTCTGTATTTCTGGGACTATCCCTGAGAAATCGGGACACTTGGAGGGTCTGAAATGGTTCTGTACATGGCAGAGCTGCTCCCTTGCTGGATGGAAGACAGGATCAGTTCTGGGCAAGACCAGCAGAGAAAAGAAGCTGAGAAGATCTGTCTAGTTTCAGTTTTGTATACAGCTGGGTAGCAGCAACTGCTACCCAACTGTTACACTGCTAAGTAAAATTTGTTCCTTCTAATCCAGTCAAATATTAGAATTTTACCACCAGGAGATTGCTAAATTTGGTAGTGTAAGGACCACACACATAATGATTAAAGTTTTTTTTTAAAATCCCCAGGATCTGCCCTGAGTAAATGGGGAGTGATCACCTGGCTGAAATCAAAACAAGGTGATTAATGCATGTAAATTGGGAGTGTGATAAATAAAATTTTATTCTCCCCTCCTTCTGTTTTTCTGTATCTAATGCTAGATTAGACACAGGAAAACAGCTACATTCCAGGACACCAGTTGGGCACATGTCAAGCTGGTTTCTCTTTGAAAACACACACAGAACATAATGTCTTTCTGGCAGCCTACTGGAAACCGAATCATTGTTTGAGATGTGGGATCAACCAGCATATCTTTTTGAAACAGTTTGATTTTGATAAGCATGGGAGAGGTGTGAGTCGGCTGCAAGATTTGACCTACACCAAATCTTCAGAAGGCTTCAGAAAATCCAAGGCTTCAGAAACCAGTCCACCTTGATTTGTGGCATTTCATAGACTGCCCAGTTTGGCTCCATCTGTGCCTGCTTTGTCTCTCTCTCAGCTCTTCACAATTACAATGCTTTTCCCTTCATAACATTTCCCCCGTTTTGATGGAATATTAAATTTGCAGTCACACTAGCCTCTCAAGGAACAAACCCTGGCAAATTACTGGCAGATAGACCCAGGGTCTTTTGTGCTGGGCACCATTAAAGTTGATTCTTGAATGGGAAGAACAATTAATACTATGCAGAAAGCAAATCCTATCATCACCATCATTTTTTTCCTGTTATTTCTCACATAGAATCTAAAACAGCCTAAAACATCTGCAAACGTAACATCAAAATAGGATAAAATCACTGCCACTGATTTTTAAGCTTGACCTGTTGCTCACAATGAAGCTTTGCTTCTGCATTCTCCCCTCCCTGTCCTTAAGCTTGGAGACATATGTTCTGCTTTTGCAAAGCTGCTTTGTCCCCAAAGCTCTAGGATTGGTTGATTCTTGGTAAATCATCCCCTCTGATTACAAGCCAGACCTGTCAGTCACAATGGAGTCCTCCCTATACCCTCTCCTCCATTCGACTCATGGTTTGCTCTTTCCCCCCATCAACCCACCCTGGAGCCACGATATTATGGTAAGCTTAAAGGCATTACTTTCTCTTTCAACCAATGCTTGTTTGCAGCATTGCTTTTTTTGAAACCTGGATCACCAAGGAACCGCAAAGCACTTCAGAAATCAATTTATGTTGCCTTCTACAGATGCCACTTTACCTCTCATGAATGTGTGGTTCTTCTGAATGCCCTCCTTGCCCTCCAGCTCAAGAGTCATCCTAATATGTTGCACATTCCATGTCTTACACCATCATGTAGGAAGCAGTACAGTAAAACAGTCACCTCTGTGCACCAATATATATCCTCTGTATAGCAGTATGCTGACACCAGT